TTTGGATAATTTTATAGTCACATCCACATCCCCCTTTCTTTACTTCCCTTGAGTTGGAAGACTGCTGCTTTGAATTCCCAATATTCTTTTCTCCCTGCTGTTGAACTTCCAATCCTTATACCTTGTCTCTTCGAAGACCCCCACTTTTTCCTCCCTTCTACGCCAGAAATTTATGCCCTCCTTTGACTACATTCACTATTCTAGTAAAAGATCAACATGCCAGTCAGTCTTGGCTACTTTTTTCAGACAACTTGATGGAAAGGTTAAGACCTCAGAGCCTGCAGACTTTGTGATTACTCAGCAGTAGTTTGCAGGAGATTTAAACCATGCATATATACAGTTAAAAGTTACAGTCCATCTTAATGACAGATTATACAGTAGAGTCCAGATGAGTTAGCATACCTTGATGTCCCTTATATGAGTTTGGGGGAGTGAAGCAGTCAAGTGAAATCCAGTGCAGGTGTTTTCCTTAGTCATGTCTAAATGACTGGCTAAACCAAAGGGCAGGGGAAAGGATAATTGTAAAATGAACTCTGGTTTGTACATTTAATTACCTGAGATGGAGGTGATACCAGTTAGAGTTTTCCAGTCTGAATAATCTAAAGATCATGTAAATGTGATGGTATCAAGATTTTCTTTGGATGCATGAAATAATCCTTTTAAATAATGGCATTTCTGGCCATCAATAGAAATTGTAATATCTAGAAGATTTTAGAACACTGTCATGAAGGGGAGATTGTGGATTGAATCGGTGTGTTTTCTTGAGTTTGCATGTTTTCAGTCATTTACTGTAGCAATTAAATTCTCAAAGGAAAACAGGACCTTAAGGTGTGGTAGTTGGCATGGCATGTATTATGTATATACTAGTTTTCACTAGAAGTGACAGTTAACTCCAGTTAATGGTGTTTTGTTTTATCCTGGGGTGAGGGGCTGTCGTGAAGAGGTCATTAATCTCATTTTTCTCTGCCTAGGTTGGGTTGACTGTAATTCCAGACAGCACAGCTGGCTGTGTTTTGGGTGTTATGTGTAAGCTCCTGGATCATACGTGTGTACTTAGTGAGTCTCTCCTGCCGTTTCTGGCTTCCTGTTGCTACAGTCTTTTTTATTTTCTACTTACTTTAGAAAAAGGAGAAGCAGAACATCTAAGAAAAAGGTAATAGTTCTCATTTTTTCCTACCTGTTGGACTCCCCCAGACAGTCAATCAGTCCAAAAAAGAGAGCTTTTCTAGAATCTAATTCTCTTTCAGAGTTTGTATAAACCTAGCTAGCTTTTTCTTTGTTCTTTCATGACTCCCCTTTGTGTTGTGGCGAGCATTCCTAATTTATGCTTTTTCCTTTAAGCTACAAATTTGAAAAGTTAGATGGCATTACAAAGTTTGAAAGTTTCCCTTATTAAAATTGCTATAGATCTGGCAAGAAGAAAAATTCTAGTTTTAGAAGGATGGGCTTATTATTAGTACAAGCCTTTTGTATTTTGTTTTTGGCTTTATTAGAACTAGCCATTGTGGGATTTTAAATTCTTGGATTTAAGGAAATTGTTCTAAGTTGCTAGTGTTCTTAATTAGTGCTTTTGCTCATATATAATTTTTAGACTAAAGCTTCTAGTACAGTATGAAAGATTTCACTTTAATTTTCAAAAAGTATGCTCATATTCATGTTCATATTGGAATGCTGTTAATTCATTGCAGGAGTTTTTTAAAAAATCTAACAGATGAGCAAATATAAGAAAATAAAAATCCTTCTATCACATTTTAACATTTGCCTTTCTAGTCTTTTCTGAACTTTTAAATGTCATAGAAATATATCATACATATGATTGTATAAGATATTTAAATAGTTTAAAGACTAAGTATTAACTGAACATCCACATCCATTTGCTGGACCTCCAGGTTCAGAAACGGAACCTCGTCAGCATGCACACTCTCCATTTCCCCTCCACAGTTACATTTCTTTTCTGTACCCCCAGAGACCACTTTTCTGTTGATCACTTCTTGCCTTTCTATTTAAACTTTTTTTATGCATTTATAAATAATTTAATTTTATTTTGCATATTTTAAGAATATGATATAAAATGAATCATACTGTATGTATTTTTTTATTTATTGTCATCTGTGAGAGTTAACGCATGTTGATTCAAAAATATGTTGATTCAAAAATATATTTCATTCAGTTGTTTCTCTATACCAGAAATCAGCAAACTTCTTTCTGTAGAGTTAGGTGGTAAATATTTTAGGTTTTTTAAACCATAAAGTCTCTTGTCAGAACTACTCAGCACTACCCTGGTAGTGAGAAGGCAACATTAGATAATACGTGAATGAATGGGTGTGGCTATGTTCCAGTAAAATTTTACGTACAGATACAGGCTCTGAGCTCGAATGGCTGCGGTCTAGTACCCCCATTCTGTAGTTTCTGTTATTTTGAATGTACTATAACTTACCCATTTTACTGTCAATAGACATTTGGATTTTTTCCACTAAATGGGTGTATTTAAAACTTTGTAGATTTCACTATTAATAATCCTTATAAAATTTACACATAAACATTGATTTGATGGTATTTTCTTACCCATCAAACTTTAGGTCTGATAGGTCAAGAAAAGGCATCGTAATTATTTAGCAAAGAACTTGTCAGGGTTCTAAAAATTTTATAGTAAGCATCCCCATTTATGAAATATATATATTGCTATTTGTCATTTTCTGCCACTTGAAATATATAGGAGCCCCTTTGTGAAACACTGGTGAGAAGTTTCAGAGATCTTCTCAGATAGAAGAACATCCTGCTTTGATTCAGTGTGGCTGGACTGAACAGAATACAATGTATTTAATACACTTTGCCTGTTTAAAATTCTGTTTTAAGTGTTTTGTCTGGGTATTGGAAAGTTTGATATTACCAGAATCTTACGCATCTGTCAGGATGACATTACTTAGTCACAAGGAAGTGTTGGCAGTCAGAGTCTCTGTTAAATATGATCACTAGGGCTTCGAGAATGTCCTGTTAAGCCTGGGAAAATGCTGGTTGTTAGGCTTCCTGAAACCCATAAAATCTGGGAGAGCAGCTGATTCCTCACTGCATTTGCTTGTTTAGCTCTGGTAAGACCCAGTTTTTATTAGCTTTGTGGGGTTTTACCAGAAAACACCATGTTTCTTAGAAGGACATTTTTAGTTTTGGAAAGTATTGATAGGGCGGTTTTCCCATATGTGTTGGTTCACTGTCTTGTTCCTGTCTCTGCTGTTGCAGGGACAAGCTATGGGGGGTCTGTGTCTCCATGCTGGCTCTCCTGCCACGAGTCCTACGGTTGATGCTGCAGAGCCTGCGGGTGAACAGAGCTGGGCCTGAGGAGCTGCCTGTTGTGGGCCAGCTGCTTCGCCTGCTGCTTCAGCATGCACCCCTCAGGACTCATATGTTGACCAATGCCATCTTGGTGCAGCAGATCATCAAGAATATCACAGTAAGAAAAGAAGCTTGGGGAACAAGGACTTTGTACTGTTCGCACTAGATTCATGGGCATGGCGGGTGCTCCTGGGAGGCCACGGTTCCTGTGTGTTGACTGACTCTTGGGATTAAGCCCAGTGTGGTGATACCTTCTGGCTTCCCCTGCTGTCTAGTCCCTGACTGTCACATAACCAGGGGGGTGTCTTTGATCCCAGAATCAGTAATGAAAGCCTTCAAATACTCAAATGAATTAAGATGGCAGGCTGCTTAGTTGGAAAAGGTACAGGCATCAGAGTCACTGCTGCCTGGATTGTGATGCAGATTCTATTGATTAACTATGATAGTTGGTGGGGTTTTTCTTTTTTACCTCTCTCTGAGCTTGTTTTCCTAGCTGTAAAAATGGGAATAATAGCAGCTACATTGGGTTTTGGTGACCATTAAATGAGATCATCCAAGTAAAGTTTATACCGCATCTGTATCACATTAAGTACCCAACAAATATTAGCTGTCATTAAAGATATTTAGGGGGAGGGGACAGCGCAAGTAGTAGAGAGCATGCTTAGCACACACGAGGTCCTGGGTTCAATCTCCAGTACCTCCATTAAAATAAATTAATTAATTAAACCTAATTACCCCTCCCCTCCAACAAAAACTATATTTTAAAAAAAAGGATATTTAGCAAGAATAAACGACAGGCCTATTTCTAGTCACTTAGTTCACTTGAAGAGAAGGATGTTGGAATTGCAGGCTTCATCTTTGTCTAATGGTTGGTTCTGTATTTACCTGGGGCAGGCAGCTCTGTTGTCTAGGGGTCCTTTTGTGTTTTTGGTTTGGGAGTTAAAGAGAGGTTTTTGGTATAGGTATTTGGGGGGGTCAGTTATTGATCGCTATTATGTAATAATACTTCAAAGAGTTTATACATGCATATAACACAGGTGTGTGTTCTGAATTTTCTTAGTAATGGAAGAAGATGCAGAAAATTCAGAAATAGTAGAAAGGAAGAAAAGTAAAGGATTTGGATTATTCTGAGGTTGGAGAACCAGCCCATCTCTATAAGGAAGAGAATGACAAATTATCTGTTGGCCCTATAAAATTATTTTAATAGTTGATGTTAGTGCAAAGATCATGAGATGCTAGAATACCAAGAGGAGGAAGTCCAGTATGTCAGAGTGGTTAAACGGTGAGATTTCATCAGTCCCTAGCCAGAGTAGGAGGGAAGAGCCCAACAAGAAACCAGTAGCACTTGTACTTGAGGATTAACTAGGAATTTTCACTACCTGTGGTAATGCCCAATAAATAGGTTCCCTTTTTCAGTGAGATTTTCTGTGGTAATTTATACATGATGATACCTTGGCAAGGACTTAGATCTTGTTTGGGTGTGAAAACTGTCAGGGAGCAGTTTTGGTACAACTCTCATTACTCTTGTGTTTCTCTGCAGACATTGAAGAGTGGAGGTGTGCAGGAGCAGTGGCTCACAGACTTACATTATTGCTTCAACATGTACATCACTGGGCATCCCCAGGGGCCCAGTGCATTGAGTACAGTATATTGAAAAGGCACCATGCACCTCCTGTTTGAAATTGTTTATTCACATCTAATTTTGAAAAGAGACTGATGTAATTAAATGTTTGTCATTAAAGCTGAACTTTTAAAGAAGTTGTTTATGAACTTTCCTTTGCACTGAAATAGGAAACGTTTCTTCTGATGCACAGGCTGGCTTCCTGGACTAGCACGTGGTATGTGGCTATGAGTGGTTACAAGTGGTAGGGTACTGTGTATTTCATAGCAAGATATATACAAAATACAGAGTGATGATATGGTACCTTCTGTTACTAAGGAATTAGCTGAATCTTTGCAGTCTCTTCCAGGCAAACCTTTGTGTTCTCAGCTCCAGGCTAGTTTGGGGTTTTGTTTGGGAGTGGCTGTCCTTATCCGTCACAACATGCAGCTTCTCACTATAGAGTTCTGTTGTTTACAGAGGATTTTTAGCCCTCTGTGCAGTGGCGCAAGATTTCAAGACAGTGCTATAGTTTTGTATTTTCCTACACCTAAATCAATGCTTGGTCTGATCTAGATAATGCTTACAAAATTAGTTTCTACTAATGATCCATTTTAACAGTTTTTAATTTCTATTATAAGCTTTTTCATAATAATGAAGTAATTTAACTGGACAACTGTAAAAAAAAAGAATCCAGGTAATTAACACTACTGCTTCCTATCTCTTACTGTCAGGACAGGGGTGGCTTAAAATCTTAAAATGGAAGCAGTCCTAGAAACATTTGTGAGCCTAATATGTCACTGTTTCTTCCTACTGTCTATATTCCTAGTAGCTTTGCCCTTAAAATGTGTGAAAAAGCCCACAATCACTGCATTTTATTTAAACCAGGTGTTTTCTTAGAGACCTAGAATGCATATTTAGTATTTTCCCCTGCCAAAGGAATGGCATTTTGACAAGGTTGCTCACCTCTGCAGGTCAGGCAGAAAATGCAAGTGCAATGTTAAGGCCCGAATTGGCACCTTTTGCATGAATGATCTGCTCTGTGAACCTGCCGGATGGATTCCATGGTGCTGATACCTCTGCTGGTGCTCGGCAGTAGGAACGCCATGCACAGAGGACGTGGCAGCATCCTGTGGCCTTCAGAGGCTGACACAGGGACTGTAAATGTAAGCAGTCAACAGAGTGTACCTGTTAACAGTCTTACAAAATTTCTAAAAGACACTGGGTCATGATTCTGGTCTAAAAATTAAAACTGATACTGTTGTAATAACAGGATGTGGTATCTGCAATGAAGTTCCTTGCATTAGGTCCCAGGAAAGTAGTGAAATGCAGGCAGCTGCTGTAGGACAGCCTCCTCCCCATCTCATTAGTTCTTCACTGGAGCCAACAAACCAAGGTCGCAGCAGCTGGCAGGCAGAAATCCCACCCCAGCAGCCCTTTTAGTGCTCACATTCTGAGTTTGACTTAGACTGTACTGTTAATTAGGAATTCCCTTTCCAGCCTTACTGACCAGCATGGAGGCAGCCAGCTAAGCAGTTTTGCATGGGAGTAGTCTACCTTGGTCCTTTCAGCACAGGCTAGGCATTTACTTAACAGTGCTATGTGACAGCAGGAAGGAAACACTGGCATTTCCTGTTGTTACCACATTTTCAGGCTGATAAAGCTTCGGACATGGATATTAAAGTTCTCCCAAAGTGTGAAAGATTATCAGCAAGAACTTGAAATCTGCACTAGCTATTTTGTGCTCCTCCGGGTACAGTCTTCCTCCAGAGGCAGTCGAAGCTTTGTTTTGGTTTTTGATGTATTAGCTGATTGCAGGTTATAAGAAAAATTCCTTGATCTTCCACTGTTCTCAAGGAGTTGTATACACTGCAAGTTGCTCACTGTTAAAAACAAATACCAGAGAGAGATGCAGATTTATTAATTTTAATGCTGAAGGGAAGAGTTCCCTGATGGGGAGGAAAAAGGGTTTGGGTTGGACTATCCATGAGGCTAAAGGGATGACTAGTTTATTGTAGAGACTGGATGATTTATCAGTCTTGCATTCTCCATCTCTAAGATGCTTGACATCTCTCTAAGGAAAGAACCTGGACTGGGAGGGGCAGGTGTTTGAGAAGCCAGGACTGGAACACAGGTCTTCAGTCTGCCTGGAATTACAGGGATGATACTGCTTTTCTCTGTGCCTCTCTAACAACATGAACATATACAGACGTGTAATTTTCCATGTGCCACATACTTGGCTATAGTCCATTCTAGACAACAGGTTCATTTGAAAACTATTCAGGTGGTAGACTGATAGGCATATTAGACTTGAAGTGGATATTTTAGGCCTTTTTATGACTTTATTACAAATGTAAAGGATGCTCCAGTTGGAAAGTGAGTGGTGTGCTCAGCCCTCTCACTCAATAAATGAGGATGCTGAGCACCTAGGCAGTTAAGAGACCTTGCTCAGGCCATGCTGCTCTATGTTGTCCTAACGAACAAAGAAGCAAACATGAAAGGTAAGTAGTTTCTTAAAAGTTACAAAAATATGTCTTACTTTCTCTTCTGGTTTTATTACTATTACTTCAATAAAGTTAAAGTGAACTGCTTTGGAACTCGTGTGTCTTTGGCTGTCTTCACTCCATCAAGTCTTGAGTTGTCACCTGCATACTCTCTGTAGGTGGGCAGGAACATTCTGCCTTCACACAGGGGTACCAGTAATCCCTTAAGCCATGGTTATTCTATTTACTGGGATGGAATTTTTTAAAGGAAGTTCTTTTATTTTTAAAGAGAGGGGCCTCCAAATTTAGGACATTACATGTATGCTCTCTGATCGTTAATTACTATGCAGCTGTTCTTTGTGGGTGTGTATGTAGGTGGTTTGCAGGGTGGGTACAGAAGACAGGAGAATGTGGTTGTCTCCTGAATGCATGTAGAGAAAGTCCAAGGAGGCTTTTACTTTGCCATTTCCAGCTCACTTTCTGCTCCTTTTGAAGACGTAAAGGCAATACTAAAGCCTCCCCCTACGTTGATGGCTAGAGCAACAGTCTTCACTCAGATGAGTGTGAGCACGTATGATGTGCAAACAACTTACTAAAACTAAGTAGAACAGTGAGCAGAATCCCAAGATCCTTAACCTTGTGGAATTCTCAAAGCAAAAGATGAAGAGTCTATTCAAAGTGAAGACAAAAGTTAATGGTTTCTCCTTGGTTCAGTTTGGCATCTGTGATTCCACAGGATCAGAAACTTACATGGATGTCCAAGTCATGGAAATTTACAGACACGTATTCTGTATAAAGCACATGCTGCAGCAAAACTGGCTGACAGCTCTGACTGACCATCAGCCTTATTCACAGATTAGTGGTTAACGTGGGTGGGTGGCCTCAAAAAACATTTGTCCAAGTTTCAGTGTTGGAAAAGATTCTAAGTTCTTGTCCGTTTTCAAGCCAGTGTAGGACAAACAAGCTGTTTGTTCATATGAGGGCTTAAGAAACTACTAAGTATTTCTTTGAATTTGTTTATTCTGTCCTTTAACTAAAAACCTTTTATGCTGCTAAACACTTTCATTTCTAAAGATTTGGTAGTCCTGGGCTTTTCTCTTGAGACAAAGTAAAAAATGCTCAAAAATTTATAATATTTGATTACCTAAATGCTAGTTCTTTGGCAGTTTTATCTGACAGTTGTTTTTGAAACCACTCTTCAGATCACTCAACAAGAGTTGTGGTTTTTTTTTTTAACATAGAACTATGGGCCTGATACCTTACAAAAGATTCTAATTGCCACACCCATCAACTCCTGATCAGCCTGCCTATATTACATGGGTTGCCCAACTCTTAACTAGCTTTGGCATTAATTCTTGTCCCCCCACCTCCAGCTACCACCCCAACCCCTGTCAAAAACTAAATGAATGTTAAAGTTCATGCTGACAGTCATTGTTCACCTTCCCAGCTGCGCTCAGTTTCTGCGGGATGACCGAGGAGCAGGGACTGGGGGGAGCATGTTGCCATAGTCACCCATGAGAAACACCGGACCTGGCATTAACTGCTGACAGCACTGAACTTATCATCCAAACTTAATGCTGGCATGAATGAAGGGGCCCTGAGTAAAACTCTCGTCTTGTGATTAAAAAGAAAGTTCCCTGAGCTGCTTCTATATGAGTAAAAGTGTGCACAGTTGAGCCTGAGCTGGACATGGTATTAAAATATTAAGTGTCGTCCTCATGGGACGTTTGCCCAAAGGGTAAAAGCCAGAATTTGTGGTCAAGGGACTTCTTCCCATCTGTGGGAAGGAGATGGAGAATCTTAATGTGAAACCAAAACAGAACAAGAACTTCCAAAGAGTTACTTGGAGAATGACAGTATTTGTGTTTTCCCCTCCTTTACACGAACAGGGATGTACAAGTGATCAGTAATAGGCTCCGTGTATTGTTTCTGCTGGAGATAACGCTAACAGCTTTTGGTTGTAAAAATAGCCTGCCTCTTGTGGAGAGATGTTGACTGCAGTGATAATTCCATGAAAGAGGGATGAAAAACACATGCATACCTGAAATCGAATGACCACTGGAACCCCCTGGCAGTCTGTTCTAACGTCTTTCACCTTTGGGGATGAAACAAAAAACGGAACTATTTCCCCAGGTGGTCTCCCCAGCCTGCTTTGCCTGTTCAGTGGCTGCCTTACCTGAATTGAGATGCAGTACAGAATGGGCTTTTGAAGATCTTGTGGGTTGGCGTACTTTCCCTTCTTGAGAACCTAAAATCAACCAACAACGATCATCTATTTCTGACCAGTGACAGCTATGGCCTGACCAAGTTCTTAATTGCTTATTGAGGTGAAAGCTTGAACTTGCACGTGTCTCTGCTAAGATAAATAAGGTATGGTGTGGAAAAAATCATGCAAGCCCAGGGTCAAGTCCTGAGATTTTGCTGCCAGGGCCACAGATCTGTTGCTAAAGGTGCTCTGACTTTTTTTCTGTTGGGGAGCTAGCTGGGTGTGTTCTCTGCTGAGTTTATTTGGGTGGGCAGTTTCCAGAGCTGGAAGTCTTTCAGTATGCAGCAGTTCATCTGCTAAACAAGTACTCATAGCAGTGCTTGGATCTGGGGCATTCCCACAGATGGGCGCCCCTGTACTGTCTAAGCATAGGGAAGATCAATGTGAGGAGGCAGGGTCTGCCTGTGCCTGGAGTCCTCTAAACGGGGAACTTCAGGGAAAGACAGGCAGCAGCCTGGAGAGGTTGCAGTGGTGAGGCTTTTAGGCATGAAGCCCAGCAGAGAATCTTTCGGCCAGAAGGCTCTCTCTTGAGATGCCAGAATGCCTCAAGAACCCATTCTGACCCTGAATTGCTGGATGGGAGGCACTAATGTGATGCTGAGAATTCTCTTGGTGCTTGGAAGTATAATAGAGTTCCTATCTGAATGGAAGTTTGCCCAATATAATTAAATCCCATTTCAAATTCTGATGTGACACTTTGGAGGAGCTTGTTGTAAACTACAAAGTACCTAGAAGGACAGTTACCGTAGATTTGCTTGAGCACTGAATGCCTGGTGGGCTTTGTGCCCGAGCCGCCCTTGGATGGACTCTTGGTGGTCCTGCTTACTGCCGAGGTCTTTGGAGGTTTCAGTTCCAGTTCCTTCCTCCAAACCTGGAGGATCAAAGTCATGCATTCTCGGTTCCATCTGTCCATATCTCTGACTCCAAGCTGCTTCATGTGTAGAAGGTGGGACAGGTGCTTCCTGAGCTGATAGCTGTGGGGTCAGAGGAAGGGAGGGACTTTAAGATAATAGTACTGAGAAAAACAACATTCCTTAAAGTTCCTAGAAGCTATAGGAATAGTATTTGCTGAACTCTTGGGAGATTCATTCAAGCTCCCATTCCTAACCTCAGTGGCATGTTGGAATGCTGAATTCTGTCTTTGTCCATCAGTACTTCTTGGACTAGGAATCAATCAGATGGGTCCTTGCCCTCGAAATGGGATAGGCCAATGTGTAAACAAATATATGCAGAATGAGAAGTATTACGTGCAAGCAAGGAGCTAGATGGCTAATATTTGTGCTGGGTTTTAAGGGATGAGTAGGAGCTTGCTAGGCAGAGAAGGGCATTCGAGGTAGCAGCACTGGCATGAGCAGAGGTGCAGGAAAGTCAGTAATGTGAGAAGTGTGTGAAGCACTGTGTATTTGGTAAGGGAAGGAGGATGGAAGACAGCTACAATGTGGAAGGGGCCATTTGGTCAGGATGTATATCAGGCACTTTCCCTATGATCAAGCCTGAAAATACATCTGTGAGGCAGATATGAATCTGACAAAGGCTGAGCAGAAGGGACATCACTGAGATGGCAACATAGGTCACTCCTGACTTTGCTCCCTCTCACAATAACCACCCCCACCACCAACTATTCATGGGCACCAGTGAGAAAATCCTAGAACATGGGAGTGAGGATGAAGCACTCCCTGCTCTAGAGACTGAGACACACAGCATTAGGATAAGAAGAGTAGCTACTTGCTGGAAGCTCTCCCCACCCTGAGGCTAGCACAGCCCCACACTGAGAGGTCTACACCGAGCCTGCAGTTCTTCTAGTGGGAAGACAGACTATTCTTCCAGTGAGAAGAGAGTTCAGAGTGGACACTCTGGGTTGCTTCTTGGGAGCTCTGGCTCTAGCTAGTCTCATTCCATGGGGACTGCCAGGGATGCTGTGGGGTTTAACCCCTGGGAATCCAATTGTGACAGAGAAGGGGTGAGGGGCTTGCAACAACCAGCATGTGGATCTTAGCAGATCCTACCTGTAGAGTCCAAGTAGTAGACCCAACCAGTAGCTTTGTTCATCTGTAGACCAAGAAGGTGGCACAGTTTGCCCAGGGAGCTCAGTGGTGTGTAGCTTCCCTGATTCAGGACCTTAAACAAAAAACCTTGCTGGCCCTGGAGCCTAGGCTGACCCTGCCCAGCCAGGGGAGCTGAGTCATAGCCTACCCCATTGCTGAGTGTAGTTCTTGGCCCTTACCTGACAAGAAAGGCTGGCTGGACCACCTTGAAGCTGCAGAGCCCAGCAGTGCACAAGACTATTGCACAGCAGCAGAGCTGATCATCCACTGAACAAAGCCAGTAGCAATATTCAGCCTGGGAACTTGGAGAGCATGCCAGCTTGAATCAAGACCAAAAACAAAGAGCCTTGCCACCCTTGGAACCAGTTTTCCCACTCTTCCTGGGCAAGGAAAGTAATTCACAGCCCCAGCCATTGCTGAATACAGCATTCAGCCCATCCAACCAGGGAACCTAACCAGCGCACACAGGAAGCTGCACGGCCCATCCACCAGCCCTTCCTACAGTGGCACTTGAAGAGAGAGCACATGCACGGCTTTCCCCCTTACACAATGAAACTGGTGCCTATGTCTGGCCAGGGAATTCAGTGCACAGTCTTGCCTCATTTGGGTCCCCAGACAGTGAGCTGTGCAGGTTCTGAGACCTGTCCTACTGTCCCACCAGAGCAGGAAAGCTAAATCACAGCCCTGCCCACTGCTGAGTGTATTACCGAGTCCTGACTAAGTAAGCCTGACCAGAGAACCCAGGCAACTGTAGAGCCCTACATCCTTACTGGAGCAAGGAACCAAACCAGCAGCCTCAGCCAATGGTTCTCCGCCAGCAGTGGCAACACCCTCCTCCTCCCTCCCCCTGCCCTCAAACCTCAGAGCTTGGGCAGCGGCCCTCCCAAAAAGAGACAGCAAGCCCCACCTCCCCAAGGATGTTACCAGAAGACACATCCAGAAACTCAAACTGAGCTGACTGGTAAATAACTATCTCTGCCAAAGAAAACTTAGGAGAGGAGACTGCTTACTCAAATGTCCAGATACAAACTAAGGAATCAAGGATACAAAAAAAAAAAAAATTCAGGTAAACATGACATCAAAGGAAAAAAAAAAATCCAATAACTGACCTTAAAGAAATGGAGATGTGTGAGACAAAGAATTCAGAAGTCTCTTAAAGAAGTTTAGTGAACTATAAGAACACAGATGGCCAAACAAAATTAGGAAAACAATGCTATACAAAATAAGAAAAAGTTCAAAGAAATAGAAACCATCTAAAAAAAAAAAAAGCCAAACAGAAATTCTAGAACTGAAAAATACAGTAACTGAACTGAAGAATTCAACAGAGAGCTTCAAAAGAAATTAACCATGCAGAAGAATCAGTGACCTAGAAGACAGGACACTTGAAAGTATCCAGTCAGAGAAGGCAAAAAGAAAAAAAATAGTGAAAAAAGCCTTCGCGACACAATCAGAAGAAACAATATCTGCATATGGGAATTCTAGAAGGAGAAGAGAAAGAATGGGACAGAAAGTATATTTAAGTCAATAATGGCAGCAAGCTTCCCCAACCTGGGAAGAGAGATGGACATGCAGACCCATGAGGCCCAAAGGATCTCAAATAGGTTGAACCAGAATAGGGCTACACTGAGACACATAAATCAAACTGTCAAAAGTCAAAGACAAAAATAATTTTGAAAACAGTAAGAAAAAAAGAGACATTGCATACAAGTGAACTCCTGTAAGACTATAAGCATTTGACAGAAACTTCAGGAAAGAATGGGATGAAATGTTTAAAACACTGAAAGAAAAGAACTGTTAACCAAGAATACTATCCCTGACAAAGCTGTCCTTCAAAAATTAAGGAGAGAGAGACTTGCCCAAACACGTAAGAGCTGAGAGAGCTCATCACCATCATACCTGCCTTACAAAAAATGCTGAAGGAAATTTTTGAGCAGAAGTAAAAGGACATTAATCATCATAAGAAGGTAGTGTAAAACTCACAGGTAATGGTAAACAGATAGTCAAAGTTACATTCTGTAGAATGGTAATGATGGTGTGTAATTCACATACAACTCTAGTTTAAGAGTAAAACAAGTAGTAAAAATAACCATAACTACAATAACCTGTTATTGGATATACAATATAAGAAATATGTAAAATGTAACATCAATAACCTAAAATGGGGGATGGAGGTAAAAGTATAAAATTTAGAAATGCTGTCAAAGAAAAGTTATCAGTTTAAAATAGGGTGTTATGATTTTACGATATTTTATGTAAGCTTCATAATAACTGCAAGGGAAAAACCTATACTAATTATACAAAAGTACATGATAAAAGAAGTCAAAGCAGACTGATACCAAAAGGCACTGAAACACACACACAAAAGACAGCAGGGTAAGAAACAAAGAACAATGGAACAAAACAGTCAGAAAGCAATGAACAAATGACAATAGTAAATCCTTATCTATCAATAATTAGTTTAAATGTAAATGGATTAAATTCTCTAATCAAGACACAGAGTGGCTGAATGGATTAAAAAACAAGATCTACTAATATGCTACCTACAAGACACTCATTTTAGTTCTAGAAGAACACACGGTGCAGATATTTCAAGCAAATGGTAACAACAACAAAGGCGGGGGTAACTATAATTTATCAGACAAGACAGACTTTAAAACTGGTAAAAAGAGACAAAGAAGATCATTATATAATGATAGAGATCAATCCATCCAAAAGATATAACAATTGTAAATATTTATGCACCCAGCATCAGAGCACCTAAATATATAAAGCAAAACTACCAGAGCTAACAGAAGAGTAGTGATGAAGGCTGTATCTGATGGTGTTTATCCCACGTGCACTCCCAAGCTACAGAGCACGGCTGTTTTGGAGGCTCCCAAGGAAAGCTAGCTACATCAGCGTCATTATCTGTAGCTGATTAACTACTCCTGGTGGGCCTAGGGGGTGCTGCAGAGAGCAGCGGCCCCGCGCCCGACCTCACAGTACACCAAAAGGGACATAACCTTCTTCCCCAGGGCTAGAAGCTCCTTGCAGCGCTTGGTGCAGTCCCTCCCTCCTGCCCTAAAGGCTGATTCCTACATAATTCTTCCCTTCTTTTCCTGGAGCCTGACAAACCACGGCGTCCCTTTACTAGAGCATGTAGCACATTTCCGAAAAGCCAACTGTAGAGAAAAAGGAGAGTTCCGGGACAACACGGCCCCACGGCTCAGCCCCCGCTCACCCCCGCTCCGCGGGCAGAGCACGGAGCTGGCTGCGCCGTCGGAGCTCGGCTTTCAGCGGGCACGGCTCCCGCGGTATCGAGGCTCGTATGGAGACCGAGTCTTGGTCTGGTGGTCCTCGTGGCCAGTCACAGCCTCTGTTCTCCCCTTCTCAAGGGGAACACGCACTCCTGGTTTCTTGAGAAGACAGAGACATGCAGTCCTGTGGTCCAGCCCCTCCTTGCTAACTCACCTCGGCGCGCGCTGGAGGGCTACCGACAGGAAGCGGCAACTGCCACAGCAACTTTCCAGCCCAGCCTAGCTCGCCCAGGGTCCGGCCTCAATCTTTAAAATAGTCAAGACTTGACTGGTAATAAAACGAAGAGCTTCATTTCCTCTGGGCCCCAGGTTCAGTCTGCTGGCCCACCCTGCGCGTGGTCCGGCCGGCCTGCCTCTCTCCGGGACGCATCTCCTGGAACGCGGCCTGCGTTTATGGGCGCTCGTGTGCCAGGCCCTGCTCCCGACCCCAGCCCTCGGGGCTCCTGAGGTTTGGTGTCACACACCACACACAGTCCCGGGATAGCACTTTGGGCTCCTCTACTTCAAATGGCAGATGTATATGTGGCTATAGCAGAATCAATAAAAGGGTTTTTTACCCTCGCCAGACCCGGGACATTCCACCATGTTCAGCTTCCCAGAAGCCCTGTGGGCGTTGGTGTCCCAGGTCGCAGAATTGCACAGTGGGGCAGCCCGAGGGGGCCTGTGTAATTGCCTCCCCAGGTGGGCCCTCGGCTATGAGCCCACTGTCTGTGGGGGGGTGACTGAAGGCTCATTTGCTGCTATGGACACACTTACTGACAGGACCTGTCACCTACTGACTCTTCAAAGGAGGCAAAGGACAGTCTAACAGGGAAGGCATTTCAGCTGGGGAGCAGCTGTGGGGCCTCACATGGCAAACCTCGCTGGCTTGTTTGGATCCGAGGTTTCAGCTGAAATACTTAACAGAAGTTCCCCAGGGATGGTAGCCAGTGCATGCCCTGGCGGAACGCCCCAAGGAGAGGGAACAAGGACCATTCCCGTCTGTGGCTTCAGGGGCACACTGTCTGAGCTGAAAGCCCGCTCTGGCGGGTACCAGCTCTGTAACCTGGGCAGGAGATTAACCTCTCCGCGCTTCAGTTTCCTCCTCTGTGGAATGGGGATAATAAGAACAGTATCCACCTCACAGGGCTATTGTGTGGATTAGAGTTAACACGTGTAACTCCACTTAGCACAGTGCCTGGCACCAAGGCCCAGCGAATGCCAACTGCTAGCATTAACAACAGTAGTAACACCACCATCCCCCGTAACATTACCTTGATGTGTGCGAGCCCCTCCAGGCAGCCTGTTCCGAGGTGAGGGGTACGTGATTGGCCTCCGCCTCCATTATTTTGACCACAGCAAACACTGCCTTTACTGAAAACGTCAGGGAAAGACCCCTGGACTTGAGCCAGAGTTTCAAGGGCTGAATCTGACCACTTTTCCTCTCTGAGACCATCTGCTTGTCTGAAAAACGGGACGCTAATCCCTATCATGATGGCCTCCTGGCGTGGTTGGAGAGCAAAGGGGATCTGGCACGAGCGCCTCTGTGAACGGCCACGAGCTTGAACAGACCCGAGGACGCGTTATGGCCGTGCAAGCGTGGGGCAGATGCCCGGCTCTGGGTTAGGGTCTTTGGCACGACAGTCCCCAAGGCCTCCCACTGGACCTCAAAAGACGCTCTCCTCTCTCTCTGCCAAACCATCAGCATCTCTCCAGCCCTTTCATCTCCTGAAAGGCGCCTTGATACGCGGCGCACCTGTACTCACAGTGCTTCGCTGGCTTTGTTCCCCCATCAAACGTCCTCTCTCTGGAGATGGAGGCCATGTGACTCCCATCTGTCAGCGATGGGTCCAGCCCTCCCCTGGGCATGGTCATCATTGAAAGGCCTGATCTGGATTTAGGCCCTAGTGGGGCCTGCAGTGTGGAGATTGTGAGATATGTGGAAACTTGCAGCAGAGGACTTCTCCAATCTGCCCGTAATTACACTCAGGTGGTATTCATCCTGGTATTTTAGGATGCCTCCACCACCACTCTCACATTCTGAGCTCGGCTGATGCTCACGCAGGTTTTTGTAATAAATTTCAGTCACTCAATCCACTGTATCTATGCCTGGGTAGTTAAGAAGGAAAGTAAAATATCTCACATATACAGCGCTTTAGAATTCACAAAGTACACATAATCTTATTCTAGCAACTTGTCTTATAAACAGGACAGGTGTGGCAACTGTTAAATCCCATTCTATAGAGGAGGAAACTGAGGGTCAGGGAGGCCAAATGACTTGCTCAAGGTCAGGTACCATGTTAGAGCTTCACCTGAAACTCAGGCTTCCTGGTTTTTCATTTATACTGGGCAATCCTGGGTGCTTTCCTACCTTTCTGGACAAAAAACACCTCCCAGCTTACTCAATATAAATGACTAAGATCTACACACGTGTGACTCTCACGGGCAGGCTCAATGTCACGCCAGCACATGGAATTTACTAGAAGGTATCACAGAGCACGGGGGTATCACATCGCGGGGATCTGGACAGCCACATGCCAAAGCTGCTGCGGCTTCCCAGCTTCCTACCTTCTCCAGGCCCGCTGGATGACCGCCGCCGCCTTGTTCTTTTTGCGGAACAGCTCTTTCCTGCTTCTTTCTCTCTGGATTATCTGCAGGCGCAGCTCTACGGGGAGAAGGTCGATACTCACACTCTGCCCAGAGAGGGCGCCAGGCGCCAGATCAGTCTCCGTAGATGGCTGAGCGTCCTCAGACGGGACGGATGTCCTCGACTTCCTGACTCCTGACCTCAACACCTCTGTCCTCTGTGGCAAATCTGAGTAGGTCCCTCCTGCCAGCTTGTCCTGCGTCACTGTGTTTCTTGGTGTCCGGGGGTGGAGAGGACTCTGCCCAGCATGGACCGCCTCCCCCTTGGCACTGCCGGGCCGGCTGGACCCAGCCGGGGAGCGCCTTCCTCCTCTGAGCTCCTGGAGGCGCCTTTTCTGGGAGGCGCATCTGGCCTTGGACGCTGCGTCTGGCGGCCGGCTGAGCTTCCAGGGGCCATCCTGCCGCGGGAGGCCTGCTGCTGCCCGGCTGGGGTCCTCTCCTTCCTCCTCAGGCCCAGCCACCCTGACACAGGAGGTTTGCTTCAAGGAGCCTTTCCCCTTGTCGCACTGCTGCTCGCCAGCCGTCTCACCTCTGGACTTCTCGACAGAGGAGACTCCAGGACGCCGGCTTCCGTCATTGCCTTGACTGGGGCTGAAGTGGACACAGGCAGGTCGGCCTTTAGAATGTTCTCTGGATATTTCTTGAAGAGACAAGGAAAAGGGGAAGAATCTTTACTCTTCAAAACTTGCACAGTAGGGCAGCTTTGCTCCCTTGTTCACATAAAATATTCAGACTTGGCCTCTTACATCACCACCATAGTGCTGATTAGGACAAAATTGTTTAACGTCTATTTCTAGCAATGGTACATTAGATAACCTGAAAGACTTCCCCTACAAGCACCTAGAAATGCTGCCTAAAATATAATAAATATTGCTTTAAAAGCACCATAGTGCCTTCAAGAAAATAAAGAAAATTCCTGGGAGCCAAAAACAAAGATGTTGGTCTTATTAAGTAACTGGTATGTTTTAACATCTGGATAAGAACAGAAAGGCAGAAAGTTAATTGAAACCAAGACCCTGCATGAAGCCATGACTGCTGAGGTGTTAGACCCCTGGGAAATGACAGTTCAGATTAAAAATCTGCTTCCCAGCGCTAGGAGATGACAAAGAAGTTTGTCTCAACCTAGGTTCTTGATCGGGTCAAGAGTCTCCCATGGGAATTTGAAACCAAAGTCCTGTGTCTCATGTGGGTTTGGTTATTCATTTATTTATAACCCATAGGAAAAATTAATATTAAAAACTAGTCTCAGGATGGTGGTATTGCAGGATGCCTCACAGAAGCAAACACAGCATTGCTTTAGGGCGGCATGCCCTCAACGCAGGCTGCACAGAGGGGACCTTCTGAAAATGACTTCACAATCCAAAATGACAAAATGCACAAGGAAACAATCTACCGTGAGGGATAGATAACAGAGCAAATAGCAAGATTAGATCAACAAAACCTTCAGCTAATAGAACAATGTGCATGCCCCACCCCTACTGACTGAACACACAAAAGAAACTAAAAATTTGAGAAAAGAATATGTATATATTTAAAAAATAACTACATACAACATCTGAAATGAAAATTTTTGTCTCAGTGTTAATAATGACAAAGAAACTTCTGCTTCTGTAACGGCAGAGTTGAAGCATACTCACCACCGAGGACAGCAGAAAAGTTGAAAAAAATATTACAAACCACCTGTCTGAAGGTGTCAAGGAGCTAACAAAGCAGAAAAAAATGGGGCCAAGATCCAAGAGAATCAGGTAACCAAGATACAAGCAAGGCCATACCCCTAGGGAAGTAAGCCCCTCCAGGTTTGGAGGACAAAACTTGGAGTCCAGATCCTGCCAAGAAACATTGTTTTGGACTGTGACCCTGGAAGGTTATGTCTTAGGAGAAAAGGTGGACTGGTGGTAGAATGATGCTCACAGAGACTGAAGCCCAGCTTTGCATCCTCTCAGTTCTGGAAACTGGGTTAAGGTGACCTTGGATTGCTTATGCTCCTAAATGTCTGACAGAGGCCAATGTCAATCTGCCCTGGAGGAATTAATATCATCCCGGCCTTCAAGTTATTTCTCTAATTTTGTATATTCAGTGGTCCAGTACTCAATGGAAAGTATACAGGCTGATGAGGAGACAAGACAATATTCAGAGAAAGAGAGAGAATAGACAATGAAACAGACACACAGGTTATCCAGATAATGTGTTCTCAGAAACAGACTTTAAAATAACTATTCTTAAGTACCAAGAGTATTCAAACTATGCCACTACTCACGTAAGAACAACAGGAATATGAGAAGATATATTTGTATCTGCTCATTTCTACAAAAGAAATATAGAAAGGATAAACCAGAAACTGAAGAGACTGGATACCTACAAGGACAGAATGGGAAAGGGATAGAAAGAAGGAAACGGAAACTGAGTAGTGAGATGAGGAGGGAGCCCCACGTCTCTGAGTAAACTTTTCTGTAGAGCTCTGACTTTTAGAACCATTACAATGTTTCACATACACAAAGATGAAATGACACAAAACCCAATTAATTAAAACAACAATGAGATACCACTAAACATCGACTAGAATGGTGAAAATCAAAACCACTGACAACAAATGCTGATGAGGGTGAGAAGCAACAGGCACGCTCACTGACTGCTGGTGGAGTGAAAAATGGGACAGCCACTTTGGAAGACTGTTTGAAAGCTTCTTACACAACTGAACATACTCTTACCTGGATTCTACAGTCCAGCAATCCTGGTGTTTCCCAAATGAATGAAAACCTTATGCCCACCCAACATCCTGCACATGGATGTTTACAGTAGCTTTATTCATAACTGCCCGAACTTGAAGCAACCAAGATGGCCTTCAGTAGGTGAACAGATAAATTAATTGCAGTTTACCCAGAAAAGGCAATTATTATTCAGCAATAAAAAGAAATGAACTAAAAGGAAATGAGCTAAAAATGAAACATGTACTAAAAAGAAAGGAGCTGCAAAGCCATGTAGAATATTATTAAGTGAAATATTACTTTACTTGCATGAATACTAATAATGCATATTACTAAGTGAAGGAAGGCATCCTGAAAAGGCCATATACTGTATGACTCCAACAGTATGACATTCTGGAAAAAGGCAAAACTATGGAGACACTAAATGGATCAATGGTCCCCAGCGGTTCGGGAAAGAGAGTGATGCATAGGCAGAGCACACAGAATTTTTAGGGCAGTGTGATGGTTAATTTTATGTGTCAACTTGACTCGTATAAGGGATGCCCGGATAGCTGGTAAGACCTTATTTCTGGCTGTGTCTGTGAGGGTGTCTCAGAAGAGATTAGCACCTGAATTGCAGTCTGAGTAGAGAAGATTATCCTCACTGAGGCAGGTGGGCACCATCCTATCTGTTCAAGGCCTAAATAGACAAAAACGTGGAGGAAAGGCGAATTTGCTTTCTTTCTGGAGCTGGGACATCTATTTTCTCCTGACCATGGACTTAAGTGTTCCTGTTTATCAGGCTTTTAAACTTGGACCAGGACTTATTCTATCAGCCCCCTGATTTTTGAACCTTTGGACACACATTCAGAACATCTGCTCCCCTGTTCTCAAGCCTTTCAGATTCGCTGAATCACATCACTGGCTTTGCTGGTTCTTCAGTTTGCAGGTGGCAAACCGTAGGACTTCTCAGCTGCACAATCAAGTGGGCAAATTTGTATAACAAACCTCTTTTATGTCTGTCTATCTACCTATTTAATTGGTTCTGTTTCTCTGGAGACCTCTAATATAGGCAGTGAAACTATTCCGTATACAATGTTGGATACAAGCCACTATACACTTGTGAAATCGTACAGAATGTACAATGACAGGCATGAACCCTCGATGTAAACTATGGACTTGGGGAACAACGATGCGTCAATGTAGGCTCGTCAGCTGTAGCAAACAGACCACTCCGGTGCAGGACCTTGCTGTTGGGGGGGGTGTACGTGCATGTGTAGGCAGGAGTATTTGGGAACTCTCTGTCCTTTCTGCTTAATTTTGCTGTGAACCTAAAACTGCTCTAAAAAGTAAACTCTATAAAAAGGAAAAGAAAAAATAAAAATAATGGAGAGACTGCTGGATATTATTAGATACTAACTAGTAATAATAAAAATAATGTGATTTGACTATTAGTATAGATAGATCAATAAGAAAGAATAGAAAGCTAAAAATATTCCCACATATGAAAATAAGTAATAAAGATGGCATTTTGAATTTGTGGTGAGGAGACGAGGTGTTCACAGGCCCTGGGGACAACCCCAGAGAGGGATGCTGTGCTCCTCCAGAGCTGGTATCCACAGAGTCCACTGCCAGTGTGGCAGCTCTGGACTATTGCATGTTTATGGCTAGAACAACTGCTTATTCTCTAAAAAGAAATCATTCAATCCCAACCTCGTATATGTATTACAATATGTATACAGTATGTACACATATACAGATCCCAACCTATAAAACAAATCAAATACAAGATAGTAAAAAAAAATACATGTGTTTATTAAATCTTAGAGTGGGAAAAACCTTTTCCCAGCATAAAACCACAAAGAGAAAAATCTCAAAGAAAAAATGAAGCAGAACTAGAAGATAAATAAAAAAGTTCATTCTATGTGACAGATAAAGGTTACTATCCTTGTTATAGAAAAGAGCTTTTAGAAATATTAAGAAAATGAAAAACCAATATAAAAATTGACAGAGGACATCAGTGAATAAGCCAGAAAATAAATACACAAAGCCAATAAAATATGACAAAATCCCATCCTACTAACTAGGATTTGATAAAACAATTATTTGCCTAAATGTCTGGAGAGAGTTTTTTGGTTTTTGCTTTTAGAAGGGTGAGAAAGGCTTCTGCAGCCTTCCTGGAATGAAATTTGGCAGCATGTTTAAAGAGATTTACACAAAAATTCATATGAAAAGCTATTTAGCTTGTATGTCCTATAACACAGGCATGATTAAACAAATCATGCTCTATTCATAATCTGACATAATACTAAGTAGCTACTAATATTTTTGTTGAAAACAAAGAAATGATGTAAGAAGATCTCAAAACAGGATGCCCACAATTTTCTGAATTAAAAAAAAAATTCTAGTAGAAGGATTTGTACAATTGTGTATTTGAAAATTAAGGAGACACCAGTCAGAATGGCCATCATTACAAAGTCCACAAATAACAAATGCTGGAGAGGGTGTGGAGAAAAGGGAACCCTCCTACAATGTTGGTGGAAATGTAGTTTGGTGCAGCTGTTATGGAAAACAGTATGGAGATTACTCAAAAAATTAAAAATAGACTTACCATATGATCCAGCAATCCCATTCCTGTGCATATATCCAGATGGAACTTTAATTCAAAAAGATACATGCACCCCAATGTTCATAGCAGCACTATATACAACAGCCAAGACATGGAAGCAACCTAAATGTCCATCGACAGATGACTGGATAAAGAAGTTGTGGTATATTTATACAATGGGATACTACTCAGCCATAAAAAAGAATAAAATGCCATTTGCAGCAAAATGGATGGACCTGGAAATTGTCATTCTAAGTGAAGTAAGCTGGAAGAAGAAAAATACCATATGATATCACTTATGTGTGGAATCTAAAAAAAAAGGCAAATGAACTTATTTACAAAACAGAAACAGACTCACAGACACAGAAAACCGACTTGTGGTTACCAGTCAGGGGAAGGGGATGGGAAGGGATAAATTGGGAGTTCAAGATTTGCAGATACTAACCACTGTATATAAAACAGATAAACAGCAAGTATATACTGTATAGCACAGGGAACTATATTCAGTATCTTGTAGTAATTATAATGAAAAAGAATATGAAAACAAATACATGCATGTATATGTATGAATTAACTATTAATTGCTGTACAACAGGAATTGACACAACATTGTAAACTAACTACATGTCAATAAAAAAATAAAAAAATAAAAATAAATTTAAAAAAGAAAATTAAGGAGGATTTTTATTTTCTTTTTTGTTCTTTTCTCTGATTTTGATTTTTAGTGATGTACATTAAATAATTTTATAATTAGGAGAAAAATGTCATCTTCTGTTTAAAAGAAAAGCAATTAGAATCAGCTAGGATGTGAGAAAGAACCTAAAATGGAATAAAAGCAACAACAAATAAACTAATTTTATTACAAACAAATCAGGTAATCTCACTACAAGGTGGAGAAGAGAACTCACCCAAGTAACTTTGTAAAACCATATTCTGGCTGAGTATTGTTAAGACCAAGGATAAAAAGAAACGTATGTAAATATTGTGCTCTGGTTGGTAAATTTGCTTCTCACAAGGGTGTGGGTTAGCAATTCTGAAACTACTCCATGTGCAGACCAGGACTGGTATTGAAGTACGCATGTATATCATAGACAATGGGAGCCAGATCTCCCCCTGCTGGAGAAAACAAGAGAGCCGGTAATAACACTAAAAGGTGATGCTCTTTATAATAGGGAAGTACAGGAAAGCACTGGGCACACAGAGCAGGGAAGCAAAGCCTCGTTTAGTGGGAAGGTATGGCTGTAGAGAGAGGAAGGAGCATGCACCCCGAGATCTGAAAAATAAGAGGCACTTTTTATCCATTTGGGTAAAGGGAATTTTATATGCAAAGGTCCCAAGCTAGAAAAGATCCTGAGGAAATACAATGTGGCTGTCACATCATGAGAGTCTAGTTAATGCCGGCTGAATGAATAAATGAATGCATGTATAACAAAGCATTAGACCATCCTTAGGTTTACATTGCTAATGCACTGTCACTGCATAAGTGGGCTATGGGATTATATTCCAGGTATGTTTGTGGTCATTCATGTACACTTTCATGTGGTTCTTGGCTAGACCAGCAGCTACTAACAGCAGTTACTGAAGACTTACCATGAGTCATGGGCTTTATAGCAAGTACTCTACATTAATGATTTTATTTCTATTTATAACTGCCTAGCAAGGTAGAGGGTAAGTAAACCCCCAGCCTGTAGCTAAGGAAATTAAGGTTCAGACAGACAGACTGAATTGTCCAAGCCCTGAATTAGATTGACCATGAAATCCCATGGACTCTTTTTGGTCAAAGGTCAAAACTGTTTCCATAATAATACTAAGACATTATTTGCTTTTTTCACTGTGTTGGCATTTACACTTAGATTTCTGGAGGGTTCTCACCATTCCCTAACTGATAAGAATGGCTCAATATGCTCAATTGCTTTGTGCAAATAATACAGCTTATGCTGAGTACCTGCTTTCCTT